CTACGAGCCAGCCGGTTCTCCCGGCCTTCCCCCTGGCTATCCCGTCACACGGCTCTAGCGGCCCAGCGGGCATCTGCCAGGGTGCTTGGCTTCAGCTCAGGGACACGCAACGGGGCTGGACTGGGGGCCAGGCGCTGGGGCCAGGCGCTGGGTGCCCCTTCTAGCTCGTAACCTACTAGGGGCAGAGACGGCAAGTGACCTCAGTGACCAGGGAGGCCACCAGCTGGTGGGCAGGGGCAGCAGGCATCATCTCCAGCCACGGGGAGCGCCCCGTGGCTCCCCTCCCTGACTCACAGCTGGACGCCCTCTGGCCAAGCGGGCTCAGGTAACCCGCAGAAGGACCTGCAGCCCTGGAAGGGCCCTGGCTCAAATGGGCTGGCAGGTGCACTGCCCAGGGGGCGTCCTTCTAGAGGCCCTGGGAGTGGAGCCACGGAACCCAGCCCAGCCACACCGCCTGTGGAGGGGCCCCCCCAGAAGTGGGGAAGCAAATGGAGAAGGCGGCTCCACCCTCCCCCTCTTCACCTTCCCCACCTCCCGCTCCCCTCCTCACCCCGCTCGCTCGGCTTGTTCCAGGCTCAGTCTTTACTGCCATCTAGTGGCCCCACAATCTCCACAGAGAGGCGGCCCCCAACCCCGAGGGAGTGGCAGTCTCGCCAGCGCAGGGGGGTCAACTCCAGGTGGCTCACCTGCCCTCTGACGGTGCTTGCCTTCTCACCTGGAGGCGGATCATAGCCCGGAGTCTTAGAAACAAGGTCAATACTTGATGAATATTGGAGCCAGGTTTTGAAGAATACTCTGGGGCGACATTGACAGGTCCGGGTGAGGGGCTGGGGGCGCAGGGGAGCCTGGGCGGGGCCGCTGGGGCCTGGGGGCGGGGCTTCTCGCGCCTGGGGCGGGGCTTCTCGCGCCTTGGGGCGGAGCGTCTAGCCGGGTCTGGGCGCTGCGGGGTTGCAGGGGCCGGTGATTGCGGGCCAGTGAGGAAGGTCTCTCAGGCCCCACAGCAAGGGTCAGAAGTGCCTGCACCTGGGGGAGCAGCTGCAAGACCCCGGGGCAGGGCGCGGCAGGATGTCCCCGCAAGTCCCTTGGGGGCAGAGTCCTGTCTCCCTAATTTCTGGCTCAAACCAAAATGCAGCCGCCATCTCTTCTCTTGTTGTTGGTCACCAGGTAGGCTCCCTCGCTGGCCCCGCGCCCTCCGCTGCAGGGCGCAGGTGGTCCCTACTCCAGGACCCCTTGGAGCCGCGGATCACGTGGCAGTGGCTGAGTGGGCCTGGGCAGCCGCCCGCGTGGGAAGGGCCCCTTCGCCCGCTCCTGCCGGCGCTTCTGAGAGCCCCGGTTCCGGGAGGGACACCACCCAGCTCTGGTGGTCTGGGGTCCAGGTCTGGGGTCCAGGGCTCTCCTCCGGGTCCGCTGCACCCCACCTGCCCGGGGCCCTTTCCAGGGGGAGAGAGATGGCCCCACCAGAGGGGAGGGGCCTCAGCGCCCTGCTCCCTCCACTGTGACCCATGGTGACATGTGGCAGGAGCCTGGTCTGAAGAACCAGTGGGACCGTCCCAGCGCGGCTGCCACTGGGGGGTTAGGGGGGAAAGGGGGTGGGGGGCCGGGCATCCCCCACATGACATCGGCGGCAGCTTGGTAAGTGAGAATCTCCAGAGGGGCAAAAATTGGACTTTATTTTACTATCTTAGCGCTCTTCTTCCCTCCCCACCACCCGCCCGACTGTCCCTGTGCATAGCGGCCATGGCCAGGAGCTCCCCGCTGACTCCCAGCCTGGGCTGCCAGACCCGGGGTTGTGCTGTGCGCTACTCTGGCTCAGACTCACAGTGCCTGCCCGCAGCCCCGCACCACGGGGGCCCCAGGGCCCAGGATGGACTTTGCTCTCGTGTGCTGCCCCGAAGGGGATGGGCCCCCCCGCCTGAGAATCGTCTCACGCCAACCAGCGGCGCCATGTTGGCTCCCGGGCTGGGGTGCAGGGGGCTCAGACCCGCCTCTTCTTCCAGGCCATCCGGAGCTACTGAGAGGGGTGGGCCACCACGGACTCCCTGGGAGGGAGGCACGACGAGCTGCTGCGCTCCACTGCCCTCGGGGGGCACCCACATTCACCCACATCACCCCACTAACTCCATGCCCACTTGCAGCCCCTCCAGAATGATTTTTGCCTTTTTCACCTGAAGAAATAGGTGTGTCCATAGGTCCTCGACCGGTGCCGCCCCCTTGTGGGCTCCGAGGGAAGGAAACTTCCAAGGGACAATCAGCCGCGCCTGGGGTGGCTCGGGGTTCTCACGACACCCCCCACCCCCACCCCAGGCAGTCAGGACCAGGGGCGGCTTCTGCCTCCCAAGGAGGAAATGGAGGGTGAACGAGGCAGAGTGTCACAACCTGGAATCTCCTCTTCTGTAGGAGCTGCCCCCCAGGCGCCGAGGAGGCGGTGTGGGATCTGGCCTGAGTCTGCCTGAGCCTCCTCCGCTCCTCTTGGACTCCAGTCGCGCTATCGTCCTCTCCTGCTTCCCACCTCCCAGTGCCCCAAGTTCAGTTCTTAGCGCCCACTCATTCCTCTCTGCTGCTTTCCTGAAAAATCTGCCCCCGCCTGCTCCCCACCTCCGTGACAACAGCCCCCCTCACGTCTGTGCTCTCCCGGGAACTCGGGCCACTCCTCGGCCTACCCAGGCCCCAAGGGCCTGGCATCGGGGACGCTGTCTGCCAAGATGGAGGTGGCAGGGCACCCGGGTGGGGCCGGGCTCAATCTCAGCTATCCAGCTATCATCAGCCACTGCGCCTGAGCCCGGCCCCCGGCCCGGGAGGGACCCACAGGCCACAGCAGACCCCTCCTGTCTCCCTGCCGCTCCCTCAGCAGTGGATTTCAGTCCATTGGCCTGTTCTGCTCCCCCACTGTCTCTGGGGAGTCCTCTCACCCCACACACACTCTGGCCTGCACCCCAGCTTTTGTACATATAAATAAATAAATTAAGTCTTTAAAGAAAAAAAGCGAAAGGGCAAAGGGGTCTGGAAGATGAGACTAGCCGGTCTCCACCTGCCAGGGGCTATTCCCGGGCAGTCCCGGGCGGGGCCACCTGTCACCTCAGCCACCCAACAGCAGTCAGCAAAACTAAGTTTCTGAAGACCAAGGGCCTCAGCAAGTGCTTGCAAGAGTGATGTCTTCAGGGGTGCCACGGTCAGCCACAGAGTGGCCCTCGCAAGAAGGTCAGCGGGCCAAAGGCCATCGTCTGGACTACCCAGAAGGCTTCCTTGGGGCTAGCCGGTTTCCCAGGCCCAATATAGCTAAGCCGTGTGCCTGGACACCCCTACAAGCAAGAAGCTGGGGGAGCAAAGCTTTAATGATCACCCCGCCAGCCACCACGAGTCCGCATCCTGGCAGAAGTGGGAGCCGTTAGACACTGGCTGTGCTGAGCGACAGGGAAGAGGCGTGGGGGGTGGGGGAGAGGGCCAGCGCGGCCACCAGCCAGGCCCCGCCCCCACCAGCCCAGACAGATTCTCCGGGAGAAATGGAATCCCAACACTTGCCAAGAAATCCACAGGAGGGAGGGCAGATTTCTAGAACATATACACACTACTCATTCTGTAGCTGCTGTTTGGAGAGAAAGCTGCAAGAAGGGCGCGAACAACACAGTGAGGGTGACTCTGCAGACGGCTGAGACGGAGGAGCTCCCGTTGGAAGTGGCACTGAAAATTAAAAAGGCAAGAAAGAGCGGATGCAAAAGCTCCTTGAATAACCACAGCACTACACGTGATGTCTTCGGGTCAGACCCCGCGCGCCCTGTGCTGAGTGTGCCCCTAGACACCGGGGCAGGCGTCGTGACTGTCCCCGGGAGGGAATAAAATTGGCCGCTGCCGAGAGCTCGCACACGCCGAGACCGGACCCCAGGAGCCAGGGCTCAGCGGCCCAGCTGCTCCGGAGGACTCAGACTGAACCGAAGTTCAGCGACCCGACCGGGCAGGCAGCCCCGCTCGCGGGCTGGGGAACTGGGCTTGGCAGTCCCGGCCAGTGTTCTAATTCCGCGCGTCTCCCCCGGTGAAGACACTTTCCCTCTAGTGGGCATGATCTGGGCAACGTGCGTGGCTGCGAATCGCTTTTTTGGCAAGATGACAGGTTGTCGTCCCCCCCTTCCGCCCCGCCCCCAGCCCCCTGCAGCTCGGATTCGCCTACACTGCAACCCCCTGCAGTGAGGACCGCAGCGGCACTCAGCGCTCCGGCACCCTATCGGGCACGGCGAGGCTGTCCTCCAAATCGGGTCACGGGTCCCCCACATTGGTGATCCCTGCCAGTCTGCCAGGTCCCGCTCCAGGGGTGGGTGTGCTCCAGGGGTGCCCTGAAAAGGACTCGTCGGTCTCTGCAGCCCTAGATGATTGTGAGGGGGAGGAGGTCGTCGTTTGTTCTTTCACACGAGTCGCGGGCTAATTCTCAGGGAACCGGCCGCGCGATCTCACAAAGTCGGGGGAGCAGGCGCTGTCTTCCCATTTTCCGTCACGTCCAGGAAGCGCTGCGGCCCCTTTAAGACGCCCTAGGAGGACCCAGTTTCGCCGAGCCGTCGCGGCCGCTCTAGCTGCTGCCTCGA